CGCACAAGTGGACGTACCATTACAAGTTTGTTAGTTTCAGGCCAGTCTCACTGTGCTGTCCCTTCTTTCCTTCACATCCATCCTCCACAGAGGGGACGGAGGGGCAGATGACTGCTGAGGAGGAGGAGGCTCGGAGGATAGCAGAGATGGGGAAGCCCATCCTGGGAGAGCACAGCCGCCTGGAGGTGGTCATTGAAGAGTCGTATGAGTTCAAGGTGATGATTCATCTTCTCTTCTTCCTCTGTCACACCGTTGTCCTCTCTGTGCAGTAAAAACAAATTTATTGCTGCATGTCTTTTTTTATTGAAGTTATTGAATGTGTTAAAATTTAATACATTGATGACGTATTGATTATTGCCCCACAGCAGCTTTAACGTTTATCACTCCACTTGATTTATTTATTGCAGTTAAAAACAATGAAAGGAGACGAAGCAGCATAGAAACTCCATTTGGGATAAAGCAGAGCTCAGCGCGTTGTTTGAGGGAGTGTGATAGGATGGGCTTGTTTTATAACACTAGATTTGTAGTTTTATTAGAAGAAACACAACAAACCTAAGCTGACTTGCAACAAGTTTAAATGCACACCTCAGTGTTTCCAAGAAAGGGCTTTTCCTGTGGCCTCAATACAAACTCCAACAGTCGGGTTGTAGTTCCTAAATGAGGGCAGTGATCGTTTGATCATACTTTATTCATCCCGAGGCAAATTGGGTTAAGGCTGCCAGCCGTGCCAGCGTATGTAGTGAGTGTATGTATGACCCTTTGCATGGTTTTAACTTTGAAAAGCCTCAAAGGGAACACTACAAACTTACAGCTCCTCTGACTGGGTTGTGTTTAGTGGTTAGGACTAAGAATTGGTTTAGGCGGGACGACTGAGTCAGAGCCAGCACAGGTCCAGAGCCAGTAAATAACATTTTATTATGTGCTATTTTAATTTCAAGTGAACTAATATTTCTGTTATATTTTGTTACTTTGATGAATTTCACTTTTTTATACACACACCTCATGCACATATTCCATATAAACATGGCAACTGTAATAATCGTTTATTTATAAGGACAGGTGGCTCAGTGCTTTTCTGTTACCACCTTTAGCATCTGCTGGACCTTTTATTTATGAAAGAAAAGGAGATAATTTTACCATGTAAATGTTAATTATGGTGATCCATTCATTCATTTTCTTAACCAGTTCAGAGTCTGTCGGGTGCTGGAGCTCGTCACTGCTGTTGTAGGCCCAGTAACAGGGTACACTATGGAAGTCTCTGCTGCACTAACACAGAGAGAGACACAACCATTCATGCCTACGGTCAATTTACAATCACCCAATATTCACGTTCTTCATCTGTCAAAGGAAGCTGGAGGACATGCAGACACAGGGAGAGCGTGCACCCATGAGTCACAATCTTCAGGGCGTTATCAACCCAGCAGGCATCTACGGTCACATCACGAAGAAGCCTTGAGAGTAGAGAGGTTGCATTTTCTGTGCACTGAGACTCTCTTTTCCCTCACATCTTTCTTTGACCTCATGATATTTCCATTGCACTGCAGACAGAGGTTAATTTACTGATTTCTGAGGGCAAAAACAAATGCTAAATAGAAGGAACTGTGCTCTCCGGGCAGAGTTATGCAATCCACCTTTACGCTCTTTCTCACATTGTTAAACCTCGGTCTTAACCCTCTCTCAGTGTGCCGGTCTAAAGTGGGTTTAAATAATTGAAAATGCACGAGTTGCCCTCAATATAGCAGCTCTGTCGAGGCACACGGAGGATGCAGACTCTCTTAGAGTTTGCAGAGCATCCGCCGTGTGCCTCTTTCCTCTGCAAGCTGTCCAGATATTTGCATGGTGCTTTGGGCTGTGCTCAGGTTGTATTTTAAGCAAATAAAAGCAGCCATCACTTCCACATAAGCCCTCTGCCTCCTGCATGCTCCAAGCCATAACATTAGATTAGTTTACTGGTGACAAACATGCAGAAGGACCATTTGGATGGATGATAATCCGTCATTTTTAATTACACTTCACCAACGTTTAATTAAGGAATCGTATCAGGTCACTCATGTGAAAGGACCATTTTCTGTTTTGCTAGGAGGTTTTTATTGTATTACAGGTCTGAGTCTGTGTGAAATACACAAAATTAAATAATTTAACCATCAACAAGTTCTCTTAATTCCTGTTATCATCAGCTCGTATGTAAGCAGTGGGTGTTTCACAAGTTTTAAATCATGAAAATCCTTCTTAAATGCTCAAGTGCTGTCACAATAAGCAGTCGCTGAAATACACCTTGTTTGCTTTTATGCTTTCCCCTGAATGATCTGGAATCTAATTAACACAAAATGTGTCAAAGCAGATAAGGTCAGCTCAACGAAGGACGCGTACAACTCAAACACCAGTCTCACTCTAAGCCAATTAAACACGAGCAGAAGCTTGGATTTGTTTGAGGATTAATTACACGAGGAACGAGCGCTGAACAAACATCAACAAAGCCGACGGAGGAGAGCCATCATTCCATCATCACATCGAACACCGTCCACCGAGACACCAGATCGTCATCCTCCGCTTGATGAAACCAACCCCTTGTGATCAGATAAAA